ACAAAAAGATAAAAAAATTTTTTGTCAGCCATCTTTCTAAGAAAACTGAATATTGATGTGAGGAACTGAGACAAGAGTAAAACAATGTAAAAATGTCATAAAATGTATGCCAGCACTTAATACTTCGTCGAGAATTCTGAACACATGCTGCTTTTAAAAGTTTTGTAATTTTGCTGCTCAGTTGTAAGTGCGAAGAAAATGATGTTACTAATAAAGTTAAAAAGACAAAAATAAATGGGTTACCAGAAGTGAGTGCAACAGCCAGACTGGTAGACTGCAAGCTCAACGAGACCGTAGAAAAACCTTAACAAACCCTTTTGTGCGAACGTTAAAATCTGAGCCCTTTCAGAATTTTTTTATTATTATTATTTTTTCTTCTTTTCATCTGTGTATATATTCTTTTTTTCCTTTAAAGAAAAAATGGCTTTCAACTTCTGAACATGATCCTTTTTATAATTTTATGCCAAGTACATTTATTTTGAAATTTCCTGCAAGTTGCACAGGAGCTCCACAATTAAGTCTATTACGTAGTTTCAAAATTATTCATCTTAAAATACATTTTGCTTACAACAGTTTAAAGTAACTGTTGGAAGCAAAATTTCAAAAGATTTATGATTCAGTAACAGCAGCAACCATAGGTCCGATAAATTATTTCTGCTTGAGCTTTGCGTTTTTTTATATAATAATTGAAAATTACTCCTACTTTTTTATGTAGCGAGACTAGATTTCGACTACATAATAACATGCTTCCAAATAAGCTACAGTTTTAGTAAACAGTTAATGATTTCGAAATTGAAATCATGATGTATTATTACTAAGCTATTCGTTTTTTAGAAAGCGATATTATTATTCTAGAGTTCCCGTACAAACTAAAAAATTGCACCCAATTTTAGATTTGTTTCAGCTTGTTTACTCATGCGTATACAATAGTTACAATGCCGAGCTTTGTGCTCTTGTTAACATTTTTTCTCATTGCATTAAAGGGCATAAGAAAGGAAACTTAGAATTCAAAAATATAAGAATAAAATTTAAAGAAAATAGTCCAATGTATTATTTATTTCAGTAACTGGGCTTTGCCTCAATTTTACGTTAATAAGAAGGTTAAATTTGTTTTCGAAAACCACTTCCTAAGGTTTACGTATTATTCTGGATTTCAAAAAGTGTTAAGTTCTTTTACATGTGTAAAGAATGCAGTTCTTTAGTGAATTTTTATTCCTTTTAGTTTTTTTTTTTTTTTTTAATTTGCTATTTTGCATAATTTAAGGTTACAGCCGAAAACATCGCGGCAAAAACGTCGCGGAGATAACAACGCAAAGCGAAAACGTCGTGATACAAGACATCGTGGGAGAAAAGACAGTAAAGAGATAACAAAGCAGTTCTAAAACATCGGGAGAGAAAATATCGTCGTCGAAAATAAAGCGGTTTAAAACATCGTCGTCAAAAATATCGTGGTAAATTAAATCACCTACAAATCCTCGCATGACGATAGCATCGCACACATGCTATCGTCATGCGAGGATTCGTAGGTGATTACATGCGAGGTTTTGTACATGCGTTTTTCAGGTTTTATTTCAGTTGCACATATTACCACGCATACATACCCTCTGCTTACATGCTTGATGTTAGGTAACTGCAATAAACACCACTTAATGTTATCACGTTTGTTTAAAGCTATTTGATAATAACATATACCGAAATATATTAACAATATGTTGTTACTTATGCTCACTTGTCTGACAGCAACATTAGCCGAAGACCACGAAAATTCTAGTGGCAAGGAGCGCTCAAGATACACCTTTTGTTGGCAACAGCCTTGAGCACCTTATAGGTGACTGTGCGAATTTTACTCTGTTCCGCCCCAGTTTTGATGGAGAGCACCCCGGGGGACGGGTTCGACGGTCTCCCATCCCTTTCCCCTTCCACCAAACCACACGAGAGGACTTTCGGATCGCCGCATATTTAGAGTGCCACACATGCTTTCTTTAGGATCATTTCAGGATTCTTCAGGATCATTTACAAACATCCGTGCTTTCTTCAGGATTCGAACCCAGGCCCTTCGGCACGGCAATCAGTGACGCTAACCACTATACTGATTGGGCGGCAATTAGCAATATAAGTTAACCCATTTAATATAAATATAACTAGAAACATATAAATACCTACTTTCACAGCATTTTAACCAGGTAAACAGCCGTTACTAGTAAATTGTTTCCAAGTGTTATACAAGCGTTTATTTGTTAATTGTTTCTAATGATTCTAGAAATTATTTGACTGATGTTATACCAGTAACCTAAACATCAGTAGCGTCCCATATATCCGCATTTGTTAGTGAATTCACCTATTTCATTTTTAAATTCTTTAGAGATTTTATTAAATGATTTGCGTTTATTTGTTTCAGAAAGCCATTAACAGATATTTTCTATCTAAAGAAGAGACACCTGTATCTGACCGCTCTCAAATTCAACAGAGTTATTCAAAAACTAAACAAAATGTTGCTTTAGTAGAGAATTTTAAATTGTTGCCTGAAATAAAAGTCAAGTAATTTGATGATGCCCACCAGCGGCCGAACGGTAAAAGCCGCTAAACACTGGTAGATCAGTCCGCGGTTCGAATCCTGGCGAACGGGCTGAATGCATGGACGTTTTCGTGTTTTTCCCCATGTGTAACGTGGATAAGAGCCAGTCTCCCTTAAAAAAAACCTCCACGGGGCATCCCTTCCTTTCCGTGTAGTGCCTAAAGGCGGAGCACGTAATCAGTTTAAAAAAAAAATGTAGTTTGATGATTTAAGAGCTTACTTGATGATAATTATCAGTCACTTGAAGATTTTTGAAATTTATATGGACCTCATTTGGACAAAATTACTTCGGTTTTAAAAATACATTTCGATAACATTAATCTAATTGCTGATAATGATGAGCGATGTACTTTTCATGTTTTTTATACAAATGGGCGCGACTTTGGTAATTCGATAACAGTATCCGAATAATATTAACTGCAATCACATTCGTCTACAGTTATACACGTAAATTCTGAAATTTGTTAAATGCTGTGCATTTTTACAAATGTGTAATATTATACTATGAATAAAAGTATATATACTGTAATTAAAATCTTCAAATTAATGTATCGATGTTGCGCACAGAAAATCGTTATCAAATTATCACATGAAAAATATGAGTTGCAGTTAAGTCTGGTTATCTAGAAGAGGAAAAGAAATGTATTCTAATGCTTTCTCATTCTTCTTGCAGTAAAGTCGTCATCCAAAAATGTACAAACTTCATTCGGAAATCAATACAATGCATACTTTTGTAACATACTGTTACGTTCGTGCGTGTGCCTAATGGATTGAATGCACACAGAGCCGATGATAGCTTGATAAAATTTATTTTCCAAACGAAGCAGTGTACAGTTCTGGAATTTTTCACAAAAGTACTCGTACAGTTCTTCTCAGTGTCGCAGAGCACAATCAGTAGTAAAGACTTCGAAGTATTAATAACGTTAAACACAACGCAGTGCAGTACTCTGAAGTCAAGTCTGAGTTTTAAAAAAACGGAGAACAGATGCTCTCTCCGTTTATATAATCTCTACTGTCTTATATAGTTTTCTCCCGGTCGCCGAGAAGTTTCTAGTACCTTCCATTTCTAGAAGTTACTGGATGGCAAATACGCTTCAATGTCGAATACGATTACAGTTATATGTAGAGATCAATTATAGTTATTCATGTAAAGTAACAATAATAGTTATATAGGGACTGGAGCAAAGCCGCCTAATGATCGCCAGGTTTGGCGAATTTTGACTATTTTTTGCCAAATTTGGGGACAAAAATTAGTTTCCAAAACCATCACCAATTTAGTGAACTTGGCATTTACCTACATGTTAAATAGATTTGCCCTGTAATCTTATTGTTCCGACAAAGCTTCGCTTTTTTGAGGCCGTTCGTGTTACATTACACAAATTTCGTAATAACATGAATATATTTTAGTTCAACTGCCAGCCCTTTACAAAATTAAAAATCTGATTTGTACACCACATGACTTCCTTGTACGGAATTTTAAATTATACGCATTTTTTCTTGCATTTCATTTAAGCTTATTAGATTGAAATGAATCTTCTTCGTCGATAGCGCATAAACCAGAATAGAATAAATGCATTCTTTAAAATTCACTCTATTTGTTTACCATAGCGACACTCTGGCGCTAAGTTCACTTAACAGCATTACATTTAATTAATTTTATAACTCAGAATGCACAAAATTTATATCATCTTAAGAATTATCTAATCATTACCACATGTTCTATTCAAATATTATAATAAATCTAGAACGATGTATAAAAGAAATTAAGCAAACAAAACAAAAAAGAAACAGTTTTTCACAGACGATTGAGTATTTCTAATTCAATGAATTCAGTTCTCAAGGCAAAAATGCATAAAAACTCCAAAATATCGATATTAAAAATTACGAAGTAAATCTTAAACACTTATTTAGACCAGCAATAAATATACTGAGCATCGAATATCCTGAGTTTATAATTTAGAGTCCCATATGTGCTGAGTTTATAACTTTCGAGTCCTAAGTATACTATACTTACGTTTCGGAGCTTTCGTTTACACATCTATGCAAATTTTTGCTTACTGTCTCTGATGCTTTACGTGTTACGAATTCTTTCGCTTATTACAAATCTAAATGGAATACCCTGTATGTAAATGTTTATAATGTATAGTAAGATTGTTATTTGCAGCATTTCATAGCAATATTTTTTATTTCATAGACTTAAGAAGATTATTTTAGACGTAAAATGAAATTTAAAAAAAAAAAAAAGATATTTTGAGTGGATGTTACCTTTAGTTTTTGTTAATAAAATGTCATTATTTTTAAGTGAGAAAAGTTATTTGTTTTCTAAGCATTATCAATCATCGCTCCGATTTCAAGAAAAAAGTTCTTATTTTGCATTACGCTTTGTTAGGCAAGACATAAACAAAATTTTCCTTTTCTCACACAGGATAAAGCCACGGACTATGGTACAACCTATCACGACGAAAAACACATGGCAGCCATACTCATGCGAGACGGAGACAATGGACAGTTGGAAATGGTGAGTGATTTGATTTCTTTTGAAAAAATAGTCATGAAATAAACCCCCATCTATGCTGTTTCCTAAAAAATTAAGTTTCCTAAGTATTAACCACCTCATTAACTATATTCTTGGCTTCTGTCAAAGGAAATTTTTTTTTTATGTTTACGTTGATGGTGTTTTGATTGCAATTTTATTTCGTGATGTTTGTTTATTCATTAGCAGAAAAAGTTGTGTCCAAGTTATTTATTTACCTTTCGATTATATTCGTAGAAAGAGAAATAAAGAACATTCAGGAAGAGAGTATTTTCCCAGGATTTTGTTGTTTTCCTTAATTGCCGCTGTTCGAGCTGTTCTCTGGTTAGATAGATTACTTTCTCATTGGGAATTTCACATGGTCAATTACCACAAGTAAACAACTATAATATGAATGGCCATTCGATCAAAATGTCACAATTCATTAAAAAAAGTGCATTGTGATCTTTCTAAAATTGCTATGGATTTGATTTATTGGACGCTCAGAATTAATTTGCTGCGTCGTAAAATCCGTTTCCATTAAGGTTCTGCGTTTATTACGCAAGTATGCTTAATTAAGTGTTCAGGAATTTATTAACCAGGCTGAGTACTTAACACATTTACAGGCTTAACACGTTTACTTATAATCAGTTAGATTACGAAACAGTCTCAATCTTTGGCTAATAATGTTAGTTAAAATTCTATTTCTATTTGTTAAAACAATTCATTTTCTGATTCGCTTCTGTTTTCATCTTCATTTAATGAATGGCGTTGATTATTAGCCCAAAGGGAAGTTAGCCCATGAGGGCTTAAACCATAAAATTTAGTTCAACAGCAGTATCGCAAAATACTTTTAAAATGAGCATATCTGTAGAATTTCCGATACATAGTCTCGCGCTGGAGATAAAAAGGTTTTTTCTGTACAGCGTTGCCTTTGCTCACTTTGAAATCCTTGAGTTTGTTAATCAAAATTTCGTTAATGTGTGTGTGTGTGTGATTACGGCAAAGCCTCGGGAACTATCTGCCTAAGGGGAGGGATGCCTTCGTGGAGGACTTTCTAAGGGAAACTGGCTCGTATACACGTTACACATGGGGAAAACCACGAAAACGCCCATGCAGCCAGCCCGTTCGCGGGATTCGAACCTCGGACCGAACTACCAGTGTTCAGCGACTTTACCGCTCGGCCGCTGGTGAGCCATTTCGTTAATGATTTACAAAATATGAGATATATAATAAAACAAATTCTAAATTTCAAATTTGGGCTTCCAGATGCCCATATTCGCAGTAGGATTACGTCCTTCAAAATTCGATGGCTCTATGTACAGTTGTTTTATCACAATGCGAGAAATATACATAAATTTATGCAAATTTTTCATTATTTAATTTTTTAATAAAATACAGGACTGTAATATTTGGTGGCAACAGTTTGAAAAGTGAACCGGCATTTAAAGTTTTCAACGCAAATTGGCAAAACGAAATTAATAGCCCTTCTGGGCTAAAAATATTTTATAATCATATTGAAAACATTTAATATGCTTCCACATGTGATCCTCTCGTAGCATGCAAAATATTCAATGAGAACTTAATTTCATTCCGCACACTTCTTCTGACATAACCTTCCCCAGATATCTTTCTTTGTGGATTGTGTACCATTCAATAATCCGTGATGTTGGGGCTGTTACGACAACGCATAACAGACGTCATTCATTCAATGATACCAGAAATGTTGAAGACTCTGTGGCGTGAAAGTGAACACTCGTTGGATATTTTGCGTGCTACCAGGATTGTTATTTATGCGGAGGTTTATTCAATGTTTACAGTGTTATTATGAACTTTGAGGGTTTATGCATTAGAGGGTGAGTACATGTTTCGTTATCTGTGCACGATCAGGAGTTAACATGTCTTGTAATCAGGATAAACATTTGCGGACACCCTGTATGTTAGTAACATCGCAGTTACAGTTTAGCATCCAAAATTCTTCAAGCCGATCTTCATACGTTCTTCCTTTTTTTTCCCCCTCTACTTACATTTCGTACATACAGGCAAACTGAGTTTTCTTCCTTTTAAGATGGGCCAATCTATCATGGATTCTTTTCCTTTGAATTCGCTTTAGCCAACTTATGAGGAATTACATCATTTTTCTTGCAGTTCAATTATTCAATTAACCTGTATCTTCCGATTCAGAAACCTTTCCTTTAATTTATGGTGTCTCAATGAAACTTTACTTTTCTCTCTCATAGTAAAGAAAATTATGAAATTATATGTATAACTATGTAATATATATCTTTTTTATATTATGTATTTAATCTTTTCAAGGAATTATCAGTTACTAAATCTTTTTTTATACAAAATAGAAGAATGATGCTTGAAATCACATAGTTTGAAATTTGATTTCTAATTAGTTCATTTGGTAATAATGTACTACAATCTGGGAGCTACAAGCATTTTTCTTTATCAGCATGGTGTACAGTCACTATCTAATCATTTTATTAATATTACCTTACTACCAAATACAAACTAGTGTATTAATGTATTCTATGTCTTTTACAGGAGGGCACAATAGGAAATGATCTAGTAATTCACCCTCTTCCTCTAAAACTATCAATGCCAGAAGAGGAATTCGTTGATGATGAGGTTTTTCTTGATGAAGATGAAGCTGAGGAATTGAAAAGAATGAATTCGTCTCGGTACCATAAAGCAAACTCATCATACTCGAAACAGCAAAAAGGAAAGCACATAGTCTACAAAAAAAAGTTTCCTCCATTACTTAAGGACAGTCACTCTGATTACCGTAAGTCATTTGGATTATTACAGAGATTTTCTTATAAATTCTCTAAACTGTTTAATAAGTTTTCTGTTAAATTTCATAATATAGGGTCATTACAAATGATTCACGGGGTTTTGAATTCATATAGTTTCCAAGTTATAGAAAGCACGTGTTCTTAATATTCATATAACGAAACAAAAATATATTACGATTCTAAATGGAGTGAATAGATTTTCTTGTGACGCATAATGATGCAAATATGAATTCCATATTCAAAATGGGAAGTTTACAGTAGAAAGTGTTTTGAGTTGTCGAATATGGAAACAGTTTGTCTACTTTATTATGCAACGTGCGTTTCGCAGTCAATACAGTACACATCTGTAAGCTACCAGAGCATTCTCTGATGATATCGCAATTTCAAAAATGCTAAATGTTTATGTGTATAAAGATAAGAAGCTTCGACTGATCAAGCATTTCTAATGAAACATTGGAAAAAATTAAAGATGAGTTGCCCGGGTGGCCTCTAAAAATCAATAAATCCACCAGGTGGCAAAGTTGTTTCACAACCAAATTCTTGGAATATTTTTCGAAGACTAAAGCCATGCCGTTTGCAACTAAACCATGTCCCGACGCCGTTTGCAACTAAACCATGTCCCCACGCCGTTGCAATTAAACCATGTCCCCACGCCGTTTGCAATTAAACCATGTCCCCACGCCGTTTGCAATTAAACCATGTCCCCACGCCGTTTGCAACTAAACCATGTCCTTTATATATGCTGAAGCATTTAGAGCCAGATGATTAAAATCAAATGATGCGAAATTTGTAACTGCATTAAAAATACATTGCAAGACAATGATTTTTCCTTTTCTATAATGTTCAGAATGTTCAGGGACTAAACAACCGATGAAAGCGTTTGTGCGGAATGGTAAACCGTCACAATATCCAGATATGGGGCATAAAAAATTGCCATGCTCTTGTTGAACAGAAATTAAATTCTCCAATACTAAACGCCGTTTTCCCTAATTCATAGAAAACGGCGCATGGGCATTGTCCCTAATTCGAGAATGTGACCGTTACGTCGTGTCTCGAAATGTTACAATCGTGGTTATATCTTCAACTGAAAGATGATTCAGATAATAACATCTTCCAGAAAAATGAGACTCAACCTCATTGATACAGGAAGTATATCGCTACCAGAATGGTAATTTCATATATCATTGGTTTTTAATCGATATGAATAAGGTTACTTAGCACTGTTGAGATTACCCCCAATATCATCGGAAAATAAGTCCAGCGGTTTTCTCCTTTGGAGATAAAGTAAAGATAATATTTATGTCCCCCCACTGCCAACAACATTAAACAAGCTCCAAAACCGCATTATGGTTACTGTGGTGACCATCAACCGGAAAATGTTGCAATGCGTGTGAATAGAATTGAAACACCACTTGGACGTGATATATATAACAACCAATATATATACATAATATATATATATAACCTTTAATATAATAACCAAAGAAGCGTACACTTCAACACATAAAGAAGAGCACACATTGAGCATTTGTGTACTGTTTTAACTAAAATGCAAAAACTTTACGCCATTTCATACAATACCTAGCTTTTTTATTTGCAATACTTTGTGAGTTTCGTTTAACTTGAATAACGAATTATTTTATGTTTTCAATCTGTACTGACACTTCTCTCTTTACTTTTTCCCGCCAGAATACAAATTAGTTCGCGTAAATTTAAGTGAGGATTTCAGACTGTTAATTCGGAGCTTGTTTTGCCCCTTGAGACCACGTTGCTATTCTAGGTAACAGTTCCTGTCCTCGCTCTTGCATTATAATTGCCGATTGTTGAAATCTACGTCCGTGAAGTTTTGAGCTAACTTCGCTCTGTGTAGCCTTTGGCTATTAGTTTATTTAAATTTAAGCTTTACATTTGATTTACTGATTTTGAATTTCTCGCCGAAAGTTCTGGCCGTGTTGTAAACACCAGAAGTTACTTCTATTCATCTAATTAGTTTTAATTAAAGGCTCTTTTAGACCCTTTTCCAGTTTCTACTGTGCTTAGGACCTAGCGATAAGTAGCTTATGGAGTTTAACTTTAGATGATAGCCAATAGAGTTAAACTTCACACAGCGTTTTGATATCCATTGACTCATTTATATCAGCATCGTATTTTTTATTATATACATTTGAGTTTTTTACTCTATTGCCAATTCTGTTAACGTTAAAAAACCGATTAAACATGGATATCTTCGTGAAATTTAATACATTTCCCTGAAATAATCTAAAACATTTTTGAAGATATATAGTCTCTAGATGGCTAAATGATAATTTATTAGTTTCAATTAATAACCATTTATCTGAAGTATAATAATTGGTAAAATTGCTATTTACGTCGATTTCAAATTACAAACGATTATTTAATTTCAAATGATATATGACACAGCCATTCTGCTTTAAAGTAAAATTACTTTTTTCAGAAGCAAAAATTCAGGTTGGAAGTTAATTTACTTCTAAAATAGGAAAGACAGTGATATATTTTCCTTTCAAAATGAAATTAATTTTAATATAAAAATTCAGTTCTATATTAAAGGATTTAATTTTATCATTTAATGAATTTTGCAGGCATATTAGTGAATCAGTGTCTAGAACAGTAGATTTTTCAAAAGATCGGGAGAGTCTATAAATGATATTCCAGTATTTGTGGTTATCTGAAAAGTAGACATTTTTACTGAGTTTTTAGCAGTTTATAAGCTTTGGAACTATACATAACATGTAGATATTCGTCATAAAACCAGTAATACTAATAATATAGTATATAATAATAATAATACAGTGTATAATAATAATAATAATAATATAGTGTATAATAATGATAATTATAAATCTATATAGTCTATATATATAAAGAAGAATGTCTGTGTCTTTCTGTGTTTGTTTGCGATTAACTATGTCACTTCTATAGCTATCGTCACCAAACTTTCTACCATTTTTTTCTGGGTCCTGGAAAAGGTCGACGTCCACTTTTTTCAATAAAAAAATAACTAAAATCAGAGATATTAATTAAAAACTCTGGAAACGGGCTAATTTTCGCCTTTTTTTTCCAAGTAGCAAGTCTCGCACGGTGGAGATAAAAAATCTGCTTTATTTCGAGAAGTGTTACCACTGCTCGCGTAGAGTTTGTTAATAAAATATTTTTAAGTTTACAATGAAATAAAAATAGCATTGCCAAGCATTAAATACGTTATTTCCGATTTCAAAAATTTATGGGAAGCCAATTCCACTGTTCCCATCTTCGTACTACTTTAATCAGACGAGATATTAATTAAAAATTCTGAAAACACTCATTTTCGCACTCATTTTTCTGAGTTGCAACAGTCTCGCGCAATAGAGATAAAAAATGCTTAAGTTCGAAAAGTGTTGCTACTGCTCGCTTTCAAATCGTAGAATTTGTTAACCGAAAATTTGTAAGTTTCACAAAATCTAGATATATATATGTAATAATAAAATTTCATAGTCAAGAATACACTTAAATTTCTAAATGTATGTTCTTTTTCATTTTTAATGGCGATGGTCTCTTATTTGAAAGTACGTGAAATTAAATCCACAGCCCCGTAGTCAAGTTGTTTTTCCCGCTTTTTCTACACGTACAGTTATAGAATGTTCTGGAAATATTTAAAGCGAACTGGAATGGCTGACGAGGCTGACGTCATTTCTTGGAAGCTCCGCCTTTCCAGAGACTATAAAAGGACTCGCAAAGGAATATCGGGGGCTTTTCTTTAATGTAACGATGCAGTAATCTTCATACAAAAAGTTATTAGTAATTCTTTTTATTTACTCCGGATCTCTGATTTTGTAACTGCTATTTCTCCTGAATATAATAAATGGATCCTGTTTTTTTTTTTAACTTATCGTCTGATAATTTAAGCTACGACTACATTTATGATTCTTCACCAATCTATTTATTCCGGACAAAAGCTGGTACATCACATATATATAAAGTAGAATATCAGTTTGTTTGTTCGCGTTATTGATTTCTGGTCATTTATGATTTTTTTTTTTTTTTTTTTTTTTTTTTTTTTTTTTTTTTTGCCACATTTAATCGACTAAAATTGAATATAGGTAAAATATTGGATGGAACTTAAGCTTTTACGATCATTTGATTAGAAGACGAAAATCATTAAAAACTGAGTGCCATTGTTGGTGATATAATGAGTTAATTTTTCTATCGAAATTTTTATGTGTGTTCCATCTGAAAAATATATGACCCTCAATCATATTTTTTGCATCTTTATTAAAGAAGGATATTCTCGGGCTAGGCAAGGTCGAGTCAGCCTTCCTCCCTTGATTTCCATCACTTGGGTCAATAAAATGAGTACCAAGTTCGCTTGGGGACTAAACACTGGGGGGTCCTGCGACAAGCTGACCACTTGTTCAGGGCATATACTTACGCACTCTGGGGCCCACGGTCAAGAAAGCAGATTTCGGGCACTGCAGGCCTTGACCCATTTAGGCTGTTACACTATTGAGTTTATTAGAGGATTACAGCGGTATCGTGCTCTCTGTTGTTAGGTACATTACTCTCAATCTAACATAACTGGCATCGGGTACTTCCGCTAGTATACTATTATTAGTATATAGTATTTAAAGACTTTATTCGGAGTACTAAAATCCTGTGATTGTTGAAAACAATTATGAAGGTATAGACGTTCCTTTCAGAGTGCATAAACCACAAAGAAATATATCGTATTGGCTACAATAACCATGAAATGTTATGTCAACAATATAATTTCACGCATTTAATTCAGGAATGAAATAGTGTAAGATAAATTAACTCATAATTTATAATTTAATATCAGCTGGGTTTAATCACAGACAGATACAGAAAATTTTCAAATCAACTTTGAGTTTTTAAATTTTGCGCTTAAATTTTTAATTCAAAAGTACAAAAAAATCACAAACACTTCTGCATACATCTTCAACAAGATTATTTCGAATCTGAGAAATAATTCCAC